TCAGGCTGGTGGACATTTGCAGAGTCTGCAACACCATTCCACATACTCTGGTTCCTACTTTATTTCCTCTGTACAGTTAGTCATCAGAAGGATGCTGAAGGTCACTGACTCGTTCAGCCCTAGAAATAATAGTAAGTTTCAGGCACTGTAGCCTAATAGAATAAGTAATCCCCTCTGTCTTGTGTCTATTACATTAGATGTGTGGCTAATACCGACATGCATTTCAGCAAATCACACACTAATCTCATAGTGTAGTCTGGTTGCCTATCATTCTCTTGGCCTCATTTCCAAATCTCAGTATCTGTGTCTTAGTACTCACAGGATAGAGGAAACAATGCTTGTGTTTAAAATCGGAGGGGTTGGAAAGTTTAAAAAACAGCAGTGTCATAATCCAGAGGATTTGACCATATTTAATGGTATTATCCTGTCACTTCTCCCCAAATCTGGCACATTAGACCTATGATGGACCTTAGATATTATTTCAAAGAGCTATTTTATAGACCATGAGCCCGATGAGCAGAGAGGTGAAATGATTTGTCTAAGGTCACACAGCTGGTTAGAGGCAGGCAAGATGAAGGCCTCCTAACCTCTGTGCCTACCCCCTCTCCATGCTGCTGCTCACACTAACCGTTCCCAGGGCTCTGGAGAATGAGTCCCTGAACCTGTGGGTACAACTTGTTAAAGAACACTGGACCAGTGCAGAATGGGAATAAAGGATTTATGTGGTGAAGAAGGAAGGGAGAGGCCAAAGAGGAGGAGTGTAGGAGTCAGCAGTTGTTGAACACCTACTATGTGCCAGATACTATGCTCTCGGATCTTGTTACTCTCCACAAAAATCTTTGGAAGGTAAGTGTAATAGTGTAGTCAAAATCTATACATCATAAACTTTACCAAAAAAAAAAAAAAAAAAGAATAATTTCTTTGATTTAAAAAAAAAAAAAGTTGATCTCATCTTGTTCTAGAACTTTGTTCCTATTCAGTAGCAGGAAATTAAAAGAAAAAAAAAATCATAACCTAAAGTTGTCAATTTAAAGCAACTGAGTTGCCGAGGGACTGACTAATGAGGCCAATGGTTTGACTCTGTCAGCAGCCCAAGGCGAGTTACTTACATTTCCCATGTTCATGAAGAAATTCCCTTGTGCGCTGAGGCAACCCTGGGCATGTGCAGTTGGCAACCTTTAATTTGAGCATCTTCTGCCTCTGTGGAAATTCCAGGTCCCTTCTCTGGTTACAACACTGGGGATCTCTTTAACACATGAATATATATATTTTTAGTACATATGTTACATGATTCTTTTCCGGTAACATTTCTAAAAAAATGAATTGATTATATCAGGCCAAGCAGAGAGCTGGCTGTGCAGGAAACAGGACTCAGGGGCACAGCTAGGGAGGTGGTGGTGGGCGGGAGGGCAGTGTGAGAAGGAGCAAAAGAAGGTGTGGGGAGGATTCTCAAAGCATAAGGGACCTCCAAGAAGAGCAGGCATCTCCAGAGTTGTGCAGAGACTCAGCATGAGGGTCTGGGGAGATGTGGTTCGGATAGAGTCCAAAGGCACATAAACAGAGCCACTTCCTATGCAGTGACCACTGGGGAGGGTGACTCTTGAATGGGTAGAGCAAACATTGAGGCTGATACCGACCATTGTGAGGGCTGAGAGGTGGCTTTCTGATCCTGCCTGCAGTCACGTGGGAGCCAGAACCTCATCTCCTGACCACTGTCCAAAGCACATCACGCCAGGTCCAGATGGCATTGCCTGTCAGCACCCAAGGACCAAGGCGTACATTTCAGGCCCTGTGCAGCCCTCTCTGAGCTGTGATTTCCTTTGATTCTGTTGTTCTTGTTCCATCCAAGTGGGACTTCTGTTCCCATTCTGAAGGCCACTGTTAAGTCCTTTTCACTCTCAATGGCTCATTTAGTTCAGTGGGGGTTTGGGTTTTAGAAGGTTTTCTCTTTTAAATTCTTTTTTTATTTTCCCCTTTTAAAAAAAGGTCATAAAGAGCTTTAAGATGCCATGCATGAAAAGCTCTGAATAAATGCAGCTTGTACTGGATTGTAAAATACTGTATTGTTTCTAGTTTAATTCCTTGTGTGAGACTGGAATCAGTAATTTCCTCGTCCTGAGGCAGAGGCTGAATAACAACGGGCTGCAGACTGGTCTCAGGGACGGGCGCCTCTGGAAGCTGTGAGGAGAAACCAGAAGTCCCTATGAGAAATTATCCTTTCTGTCCAGACTTAAGTTTTCTAACTTTTACATGAAAGTAAAATAACACTTTTATGAAGAAACATATTTCTGCTTTCTGAAGCGGCACTGTGGGGGCTGGAGGGGCTGCTGTCTAGGGTCACACAGTGTTATAAATCACAGAAAGGACCTCCTTTTAACCCTCCTGCTCCAAAAAGTCACCCTGTCTAGTTTGTAATCATGTTTGCTTATGCGAAAGTCCTCCCTCTGAGTTACAGAGACTGTTTTGGCTCTGACGGTCCCTTTTCCCTCCCATCCAGGTTAAGAGTCTGCCCAGTTTCATGCCAGCAGGACCGCGTGTCCCTCATGTCTGCCACGCTTATCCCTGCCTCCTGGTCATTGCCTTGGTTGGTCCCTTGCCTGGCGTGCTCCCCTACCAATCTTCCTCTCTGGCTAGGTTGTGCCTCTCTGCTTTCAACCCATCCTTCTTCATAAAACTCCATTTCCAACTCTATGAGGTCCCCTATTTTCTGATCTCTATAGTAATCATAGTCATTTGTCATAGTCATAGTACATTTTAATCTTTTGGGGGGCTTGAGTTGGGTCCCCAGGTTAGATCTTAAATTTCTTGAAGGCCATGCCTTTCTCATAGCGTGTATCTGTCACATGTGCTGTCATACTTGTCTAGTACAAAGCAATAACTTAATAAATTCTTGTTGTTTGTTTTTTTTTTCAACTGATTGATTGATTATTTGTTGCCCAGACTCCACCTGCCCAGATACTGATAAGGTGTTTTGCCCAAGTGACCCCAGATGTCAGCAGAGGTGTCCTTCTGACTCTCACAGCCACACGTGCTAACAGTTTCACCCTTATTTTATCTCAGGAGCAAGATGCAGCCTGTGCTCCAGTTTTTAGAAAAAAAAACCACCCATGCCAAATGATTCGTGAGCCTTGGTAGATTTTTACTAAACATTTGGGGATGGTAGGAGTGTACATTGGCAGAGTGGAACATTTCACTGTCTCCTTCTACCCATGAAATGGAATGAGCACGGAGTCCTTGTGCGTGAATCTGTGTGCTGGCAACATCTGGAGACCTAAAACATCTGCTGGGGACTCCACTATGGAATGTGTCTAGAAAGACAAGAAAAAAACTCAAATTGATTAGGAAAATGAAAAGAGACAGATGGATAACTTCTAACTGGCATGCAGGGGGTTTCAACTAGTCTAGCTCTTGTTAGAAGCAACAAAAATGGCTCCTCCGTCCCTTGCCTCGCAGCTTGTAGAGCATCGTCTGTGACTTGAGGGTGGTTTTAGGATCACACTTGTTCATCTTAAGTGACTTAGTAAAATATTCCTTCTAAACAAATGCCATGCTTTCTCCAAGAATAATTCCAGGAAATTCTCTGTGTTCTTATTCTCTTTATTCTCACAACGTCAGTACCCGGAAGGGTTGAGTTTACCATCTATGGATCCAATTATCAAAAGTGTTCATCAGAGAATACAGCCTCTAAATCGGGGTCAAAGAGGTTCCAGACATTTCAAAACCTCCTGCCCCTTTGTGCCATGGGATACCAAGAGTGAGGTCTGGGACCTAGAAAACACTGCCAAAAGGGCCCCCAGAAGATCTGGGCATGAAAAAGTAAACAGATCTCCCAGACGTAGAGCTCCAAATCCCCTTCCCATCAGGGACTGTTCACACGGGTGTCCCTGTGTGTCTCTGGCCAAGGGCTGCCATCCGGTCCCAGCTTCTAGCATCTGCTTGGTTTGATTCCTTTCCATGCCTTCTGCCTGCCTTATGGAAATAGCAGTTTTATAGTCATGTAATTTTAGAGCAGCAGAGATGTCATGTTAAGGAAAAATAGAATCGGTGCTGGGTCACTGCTACTGAAACTGTAACACCGTTTGACACTTGTTCTGAAAGCACCCTCCTCCTAACTCCTGCTCCCAGGCTCCCCTCTCTCGTTTAGCCTTTTGTGCGGCTCTTTTGGTTTCTCACTCCTCAGATGTGCACACAGTGTAAATAACATTCCTTCCTGAATTTGTCCCTTCATTTCCCCAGCTTCTGTGCTTGGGGGCTCTCCAGCTCCCATCCTTTTTCTTTCTTGCTAATGTTCTCCTCTCCATCCTTTGTTGACACGCCAATTTATTCAGCACTAGCCTCCCCCTTCCTCTCCCCTTCCTCTCCTCACTGCTTTCCATTCCTCACACTCCTCTGAGCCAACAAACACTCCCCAAATTGTGTGTGTGTGTGTGTGTGTGTGTGTGTGAGTAGTGTGTGTGTGTGTGTGTGTGTGTGTGTGTGTGTGTGTCCCAGGAGCGTAAAATCTATTTTTGTCTCTATATCCCCAATGAGGTGAGAAGAAATGTATATTCCTCCCCCACGAATTCTAAATGTCCATTGTGGCCATTCTGAACCTAAGATCAGTTTCATGCATAGGCTAAGGGCTGTGTGATTTTGCAGGGTGCTGGGAAGGCCATTGTAACAGTCACTCTTGGTTGCCTGCCTATCAGCCATTTCTTCCTTTCTCCTTCCTAACTAAACCCTGACTTTGTTTGGGTATGTCCATCCGATTCAGCCAAGTGCTCCAGAGAAGGTGGGCTCTATCTCCATTCCCTAGCCGTGAGTCATGATTGGTCTAACTAATCTTGAGAGTTCCATTCCCTTTATAGTGATTGGTTTAGGCATAGACATGTGAAACAAATTTATCCAATGAGAATGAACCATAAGTTGGGGGAGAGACATCTGGGGGAAAGTTAACTTCTATCTTTAAATAATACACTGAGAAATAAAAGTGCTTCTTAACGCCCTTGTATGTTGTCTAGATGCTGTGATGTTGACAGCTGCTATATCCGTCTTGAAAATGAGAAGACAAGCCCCAGGAAAAAGGCTTTCTACTGAACATAGCAGAAAAGAAATATGAAAATGAGTTGAGTCCTTTGTGGATGAAAAAAGGGTCACATACTAACCCTGACAAGCTCAGGGAATCCCTACAAACTCAGAGACCAAAAGTAATCATGTGGGATGGTCAGAACACAAAAGTTCTTAACTGAAAGTGGGCTGTGGTAGGTGGTCAAGTTCTGGGCCTGTAACTTACTTGGCAAAGGTCAATTTTTACCCTAAGTGAGCCCATCTATCACCGTTTTGCATCTAAGAGAACATATCTTTGAAATGTCAAATCTTTTTCAGACCCCTCAGGGCACAACCACTGCACCAGACCACAGAACCCCTCGTGGTTATTTCGTTCCCAGGATACCATCTCTATGTGCTGTAAATGTTAATTATTAATTATCCTGTACCCACCAATGTAAGAGAAGTATGTATTTCTCTGTTTTACTTTTTATCCAGTCTCAGAGATTTCCCTGCTTTTCTCTCACACCGTTAAGATACCACCGATGGATTTCATATGACCCTCCTTACATCTCCTCCTTTGATACTAATGTATAAAATAAGTGGCAATACTTTCAGTTTCTGGGATATTTTCTCAATCTGTTGAGATTTTGCTTCCCGGCAATTGTTGCCAGTTTTTGGCCACACTGGACAAATAAACTCATAAAAATTCTTTACAGGTTTGGACGTTTTGGTGACGTTCTTGAGCCGCTAAAGCTATCTTACTCTGGACTTCTTGTTTTTGAGATAATAAATCTTCCTTTTAACATTTTGTTTTTTGGAACTTAAAGTATCTTTAAAAAAAATAGCTTTTCTGACCCGAAATAATTCCTTCATACATACCATCTCTGCCCTGCTTAGCTTGTGATGCACAGATCATAATTATAATAACAATAGCTATTAATTTAATCACTTTTCATGTGCTAGGCACTGTTCTAAATGTTTTAAATAAAATACAGTAATGCACTGTAACAACAGGATATGTTCTGAGAAATGCGTTTGTTGTTAGGTGATTTCGTCATTGTGCTAACACCATAGAGCGCACTTACAGAAACTAAATGACACAGCCTACTACACGCCTGGACTACATGGAGCCTGTTGCTCCCAGGCTATAAACCTGTACAGCATGTTACTGTACTGAACACTGTTGGCAATTCTAACACAATGTTAAGTATTTGTGTATCTAATCATATCTAAATGTAGAAAAGGTACAGTTAATATGTGGCATAAAAAATAAAAAAAATGATACACCTGTATAGGGCACCTACTGTGAATGGAGTTTACAGGACCAGAAGTTGCTCTGGGTGAGTCAGTGAATGAGTAGTAAATGTGAAGGCTCAGGACATCACCGTACACGACTGGGGACTCTGTGAACTCTGTGCACTTAGGCTACACTAAATTCATAAAACAGTGCGTGACTAAATTGAGCACAAGAGAAAATGATGCAATCAAGAGAGAGTAAAAATGAGATATATGAGGCTGCTCTTGGCATAATACAGCATACTGTTTTACAGCAAACTCTTTTTTTTTAGTAGTAATAGTACACTCCAAAATAATGATAAAAAACAGTATAGTAAGTACATAAACTAGTAACATAGTCACTTATTATTATAAAGCATTATGTACTGTATACAATTGTATTGCTATACTTTTACACAACTGGCAGCATAATATATTTGTTTTCACTAGCATCATCACAAACGTATAACTATTGTGCTATGACATTACAATGGCTATGATGTCACTAGGTTATAGGAACTTTTCAGCTCCACTATAATCTTATGGTCCCATCATATACATGTGTCTGTCATTGATCCAAATGGTGCTATGTGGAATATAACTAATTCATTAAGCCCTTATAAAACCCTATAAGATAAGCACTCTTATTATTCTCTATGCAGATGAAGAAACTGAGGCACAGAAAAGTTGAGAAAGTTGCTAGTAAGAGGCAGTGGTGGAATTCGAACTTGGCCTGTGTGGCACCAGCATCCATACTCTTAACCATGATTCTGTCCACTTCCAGGAGTTAAACGAGCTGAGAGTTCTGGATCCTGGCTCTTCTGGGAGGGTGCACAACTGCTCCATCCTCGCTCAGGTTCAAATGAGCAACCTTGCCTTCTCTTGAGTGAGGGGTACTCCTTGCACCTTCTCATGAGTGTCTATAAAATTATAGAAAATGTAATTTAATCTATAGTTGCAGAAAGCAGATTGGTATTTGCCTAGGAGTGGGGGCCAAAGGAAGGAATTACAATGGGGCGTGAGGATTGTTGGTGAATAGGTGATGGATATGTTTATTATAATGGTTGTGGTGAGGGTTTCACAGGTATACACATATGTCAAATATATCAAATTATACATTTTAAATATCGCAGTTCATTGTATGTCAATCATACCTCAATAAATCTGTTAAAAATTTTTAGATGACTAGAATAAAATGTATTCAAATGGTTATCTTTGGGTGCTAAATTTTGGGAGTTTTATTTTTTTCTATATTCTTTTCTCTATTTTTAAAGTTTCCTCCAGTGAGCTTGTATGGTAGACAATGAACATATACAGTTTTTTTTAAAAAAGCAAATATTATACAGGGCTAAGACAACATGATTAACTTTACGGGAACACTGTGAGTTGAGTAGTCCTTTGTGGGCTCATCTGGGAACCCAATCACCAGGCTGCTGTGAAAAAATGTACACTCCATTCCAAACACTGATCTTAAATGGAACTTCCAGAACAGTCGTTTTTTTTTCTTCTTAGCTCTCTCAGCCACAGAATCTTTTGTTTCAAGTTTTGATCACAAGAGTTTCTTTTACTTTCTTGGCGTATTTTTTTCACAGTAGAGTAAAATGGTTCCTTAAAGACCGAAGCAATATTTGGTAGAGGAAATGTAGACGAGGACTGCGGCCAAAGAAGTTTTCTGTTTTCTCCACAAGGAAAAGCTTTCAATATGATTACGGTCAGAAATATGACTATAAACATTGCACCTTGTTACGGCAAATGCCTGCCTCCTAGTTTATGTGGCCCTGGTGGCACAAGTGCTTGATGAACTGCCTCCTCTTCCCTGACACAGTCTCCCTAAACCACTAGGCCCCTCTAATGGCAAGCCTTGAGTCAGGCTCCTGTTACAGGGCACCTTCTGTCCCATCAGTAGTAGCCTCTCTGGAGTCTGTCCAACTGCTCTCGTCAGACCTGAACGAACCCTTGTTTTCCAGCTAAGTTCTCACCCTGGGCTCTGTTCGCAGGCAAGGATACACAAAGCAAAAAGCAGGCTGAAAATTTCTAAATTGGTGGGACTCATGCCAACTCTTAGGGAGGGGGACAACAATCAAATCTAACTGGATTTAGACTTACTAGGGCCTAAACAAAATTCTTCAGTTCCTTCAGAATAGGAAAACTTAGAGAACACTAAGAAAGGTTTGCATGAGAGTTACAGTGGCTTTTCAGAATCACAAAGGTAAAACTACATTTCCCACTGTTTATTGCCTTGGAAACCTCACGTACTCTCAAAGACACAACCTGACCACACCTTAGTCTATTGAAAAGGGCTCAATCCAAATGACGTTACACTTTTTCTTTTACTGCCCAAAATAGGCTCGGCTATGTTTCCTTCCTGTAACACTCTTATGGCACTTGTAAAGTTATGTTGACATTTCCTGCTTATCTCAAAGGCAAAACCTACTTCTTTTTTCTATGAATCTGTCCCAGCCTCTAGCAGAATTCCTGACACATAGTAGGCATTCAGGAATGTATGTGTGTTGTATGCATACTGTTTTATCAACAAATTCAGTGACTACTGAAGCTTACATAAATGCATTATTTGAAGGTAATTGAGAGAACGTTGTGGGAATAATCCAAGAGTTTTCTCATTATTTAATTTCACCCATGTTTTGGCTACTTTGACAAGTTGCTGAGTGTGCTAAAGGGAAGTCCAGTGCCATAGTGGCAATAAGTTGTGCAATTTCATCATTCTGTTACCTTCTCTCCCCATGATAGCTGATTCTCCCAGAAGTCTCCTGTCAGAAAATAATTTCTAAGTCATTGTACTCATTCAAAAAGGTTAAGGTTTGTGTCACTCAGCATTTTAGTTCCAAGTAACAAAATCCAACTGTAACTAATTTAAGTCAAAAAAAGGGACTTATTAAAGATATAGGTAGCTCATAGAATCTTGGGTCAGGCCCAGGAATCATCCAAGCACAATGCCTCAAATGCCACAGTGAACATGCCGTGTGAAGACACCACTGTCTCTGGCACTGGCCTAGAGGCCGTGGACTGCACAGCCGGCATCTCTGATGTAGACTTCGGCACTGCCACAGATGCAGCTGCCACTGCTGCCTCCAGAGACGGAGTGGAGCTACTGTCACTGTGGCCACCCTCACCAGAATGGTTTGTGAGTGGTCCTGCTCCTTTGTGTCACCAATTTCCAATTCTAAATCTAGGGCAGAAACAAAACAGGTCCAGAGCCCAGCTGTAAAGGTGTTGAGACAGTGATTGTCTGGGATGTTTACTGTGGAAGTGGATGGTCTCTGCCTCTGTCTCAGATGCCAGTCCTCTATGAGGCTGTTTTATCATTACTCTCTCAAGGAATAGGAGATAGTAAGATATCTTTAATACACAGATGCTGTGTACCACCATTGAATACTGTCTTTGTGACAATGACACAAAAGACAATCAGTGAAGCTTAAAATGTGTATAAAGGCAAGAACTGGATAGTCACGTATAGAAATCAATGGATGAATATTGGGGAGTCTGTGAATGCTCTGCAATTTTATTCAAAATTAAGGGAATTTCAAAGGTATACATTGTGTGAAAAAACTCAAGAACCTAGATCTAGATTATAGTCTATAATCTAGATTATAGATCTAGATTATAGTCACATCACTTTGTGAACTAGACTAATTAACAGAGGCCCAGATACTACATCGCTTATTCATGGATATACGAGGTGTCTTAACAGAGTAAGGATTAGAACTCATGCCTCAAAAATTTGTCCAAGAAACATCTACCAAGTGCAAGATACAGTTTAAAGTCACAGATGTATCTATCTGTCTTACAACAACAATATCAATTTGCACCAAATTATTACATGTTTTATGTAAACACACAAGCCTGTTCCCAGGCTTCAATTTTAGCTTTGCTCGTTATTAGTTTGCTTGTATTGACATAAATCTTCCTTGCTTTTCTTATATCCTCTACCAGTGTCCTAGACACTTCACCTGCAAGAAAGAGGGTGGTGAATCAAGCCACAGGGCAGAAGCCCCTCGATCAGGCACCCCCATTAACTCTAGCTATGAGTTGGCTCCTGAAGGGCTCTTCCCAGTTGAGCCTGCATACACAGCTACATCAGTCTTTTTCACAGGGCTTTGCTGCCTGTGCTGAAACCACCCCATCCCTGCCAGCAAATGCACGGCCGCCACTGAGATTGCTAATTGCACTGTCTAGCCATTTGTCCAATAATCCAGGTGTTGAGAACTCAAATGTCTGTAGAGGTCAAACAAGTAACATGAATGAAGTTGTCCAAGATAAGACAAAGGAAGTAGTGGGAACTATATTAATTAGAGATAGCAGCAGAAAAATAGTGAGATTTCGACCTTACTTTTTATACCAAAATATACTGGGGGAACAGCCTCAATCAATTATATGTATATTTGATCTCAATAACTCAAAGCAATGACTAAGTCTTTGA